TGACCTCTCCACTGCACACGAACTGACGGATAACTATTCGATCTCAACTGTCGAACCTGCCAGTCTAAGATGGCTACCGGCTTCTCCTCATAGGTCAAATCCCCGTCCAACTGGATAGTGCTGAAATCTAACACGTGGATGTATCATCGTGATACTTCCGAAGCATGGACACATGAAACACTGGATGCACAACTGATAAACCCGGCGGTAACGCAAGTCTGTAAGCCACCTCTCCCACTCGATCAAGGATCTCAAAAAGCCCGATGAACCTAGGGCTTAGCTTGCCCTTCTTCCCAAATCTCATCACACCCTTCATGGGCGACACCCGAAGCAACACTCGCTCTCCGACCATGAATGCTATTGATACCCAATTTTTCCTCAAACTATTTTTAAATTGCATATATACCTTCAAAATCACTTTTCATAATAATTGGTATTTTTCCATAATTTTCATATTATTAAGTAATTCTTTTTAAATTTATTCAGTACTTTATATCCAATAATTATTCATAAATTACATTACAAGTAATCCCATTCTCCTTTCTTGTCTAGAAAGGGGAAGAGGAGCTCAAACAAGGTTCAAAGATCAAGTATTTTTTAGCTCAAAATATCATTTTTAATCCTATTAGGATTTAATTATTTCACAAATTAGCCAATTTGGCATTGTTTGGCTATAATTACAATAATTTTGCAATTATAGCCTAATTATATACTTTATGCTATTCTAATTCAATAATCAGTCTTTCATATTTTTAATATTAGTTAATTACCTTAATTTCACCTATTTATCTTTAATTTCATTTTATCTAATTATTAGCTATTTTTGTTAATTATTTATCTAATTTTAATTGGGTATTTAACAAATAGCCCCTTTAATTATGTTTAAATTCGGACCTCCAGCCCAATTCAAATTAAAACCCCAGCCCAATTTCCTATCTAACCCGCCCCGACCGAAAACCTCTTCTAATCGTGGCCGTTGATCTCTGAGATCAACGGTCCACGTTATCCCTTTCCTTTTTTTAATCCAACTACCCCCCAAACCCTACCCCATTCTCTCATTTGCACCGCCTCTGTATCCTCTCCTCTTCTCTTCTCTCTCAGACACACTCAAACCCTAGAGTGCCATCACTCAAAAATTCCCCAAACCCCTTCGATTCTTGACCAGATATGGGGCCATCTGGTGATTTACGGCCTTATCTGGCCTCATACCTCTATTGGTTGTTTGATTTTGCAGTTATCTGAAGAAATCTCGAGGGGGTTTGACCCAGAGTCGACCTAGACTCTTAGTTTTTGATGAACCTGGTTCGTGTTCATCTCTATGGTTGTTAGTAGTGTTATCTTTGTGCTTATGGTTTGAAACTCCGATTCTGGACTAGATTTTCATCACCTCATTCCATTTTTTTCAAGAACCCTAATCTCCTTCTACTTGAATCTGTTTAGACGCTTGTAGATCTGAAATGACTTTGAATTTATCTGGTAGTTTTCTGTAAAAATCTTCCGTTTTCCTTACTATTAATCGATTTCAATATTTTCTAAAACTAGGGTTTCACTTCCTTTTTGTTTCTGCAAAACTTTCCTAAAGTTTCATGTGCTTGAATCTGGTTATCTTTACTAGTCCTACTGATTCTTTCATGCATATATTCTAGTCTTTTGTTTGTTTAATTGTCCGCTTCGATATTTGCCCGTTACTCTTTGTTCGCCAATTAGCAGAGATTAATTGATGATAATTTGACTATTTACGGTTCAAATTTATTGTGTTTTGCTGTGATGGCTACTCCTTGTAATTTTTACCTACTTTCCTTATTTGTGATTCCGAATTGATACTACTTGCCTTAATTAGTCTATTGGCCTGATTTCTAGGTGTTGATTTACTCTAATTGACTTATAAAAGGGCCTATGATTTGTTCTTTACCTTATTTAGACCCTAATTTGGCTGATAATTTATTTCTCCCTAATTTGAAGGGTCTCTCCCGGAATCTTGCCTATTAATTGATTTTGTTAAGCCCTAATTGACGGATTGATTGGTCTCTTGGTCTTATTTGTGAACTCTTGATTTCCTTTACCTTATATGCTTTACTCTACTCGATGCTATATAAACCCCATTCTGATTCTCTTTTAAAACACGAACAAAAATCTGTTCAACTCTCTCTCACACAACTAAAACTCTCTATTCTCTGTTCTGTGCTACTTGCTGCTATTATAAGCTAGCCGGTTGCAAGCCAAGGCTAACTACTGCACCTCTCCTATTTCTTCTTTGTGTTTTGCTTTCTTCACTTTGATGTACCGGAGAATTTCGGCACATTTCAATACTAATTGCTTAGATTTTAGCTTGTTTTAATGCAATTATCTCCTTTACTTATTTAATTTTGGTGCTTTTACAGTACATAAGGACTAAGGACCCAGGAGCATGGAAATGAAATAAAAAAAACAAGAAAAGAGCAAAATGTAGCAAAAAGATGGTTCTGCGACGCATTATGCGATCGTAGATCACATATGCGAGCCGCAGAATGAACACTCAGATCGTAGACAAAAACAACTCCTGGGAAAATTTCAAGTCAAGAATGCGGTTCACTATGCGACCGCAGAACCTGTCTGCGAGCCGCAAAGTGAACCGCAAACCAACTATGAAGGTTGCTGAAGGACGAATGTGCGATGCAAAATGCGATCGCGTTTTAGCAATGTGAACCACAAAGCTGGAATGCGAAGAAGATGTGAAAACTAGGGTTTCAGTCTGCGATGGGAATGTCCAACATGCGGACCGTATGTCACTTATGTGACAAGAATGCGACCGCATTTTTGACCTGAAAGGATATTTTTGTCCATTTTTTGTCACGATTTTCAGTCCACTATAAATAGCTTTATGATATTTTTGTGGGCTCATCTTGTCTAGTTTTTGAGCTACATTCCAAGACTTAAATATTGTACACTTTTGTCATCTTGTGGGTCAAGAATCTTCACTTTGTAAGCTTAATGGCCATTAATATTCTCTTGCTTTTGTATTTTAGTATGAGTAGCTAACTTTAAATACTAAGGTTGTGGACCCTAAATGAGTGTTATGTTAATGGGTGTTTAACATTGAATATATATATAATGGTTGGTTGATATCTATTTATTTCTCGTTCTTCATTTATTGTTGGTGGTTGCAAACATTAACAAATGCCATTAAATTCTTGCTTTGCTTGGGAGAGTGAGTTAGAATTTGGAAGAAGTAAATAGCAAAGACTCAAGGCTTTAAACCTTGTTTAATGAAATCGCTTAGGAATAAGTGGGTTTTATTTGGCATAAATTGATTGTTCTTAATTGCAACTCTTTTACATTTGGAAAAATTATAAAGAGGAAATACTACCCAACTATTGGGAAATATTGGGTAGTCATTTAGACATCATTTGCATATCAAAAGGACCTTCCATTAGAAATATATTATATTAACACCGATAGCATAAAACTTCATCAAAGGGGACACAACCTTGGTTACTTTAATCCAATCATTCACACTCTTAATATTCCAACTAGTTGTCATTTTGAAACAAACTCAATCCATACTCTTGTTACTATCAATTCACACTCTTGTTACCGTTAACTGAATAGAATTACGACTTTAGTCGAGCAACATACTAATCGAGTAACCTTTTCACACCTATTCCCTGTGGGATTCGACCCCAACCTTGTTGTGTTACTATATTTGACATCGACCGCCTTACATTATTTCTTAAAAGTGTAATTTGAGCGTATCAAATTTTGGCGCCGTTGCCGGGGAATACGGTTTTGAAATTACTATTTAGTTTATGCTTTACTTTACGTCTTATTCTATTCCATCACTCTTTGCTTGCTTTGCTTGGTGTTGATAGGAAAACATGTCTGACTACGAGGAAGAAAATACTTTTGCGGACATAGATGAGTATATTGATGATACAAATGCTATTGTACCTCCGGCTATTGGTGCCTCAACTTTCAAAGTGGAACATGGTCTAATCCTAATGCTCAAAGCGGAAGGGTTTTTCAGGAATTCTACTGATGATGATCCAACACAACATCTTAGGAATTTCTTGGAGCGTGTGCTATGCATAAGCAGAACAATGTCTCAGATGATGCCGTAAGGTTGAGGGTATTCAAGTACTCACTAGCTGGAGACGCAAGGAAGTGGCTTCAAAACTTGCCACCAAATTCCATCCGGTCTTGGCCTGAACTTGTCCGGGCATTTCTAGCAAAGTGGTTCCCATAAAGCAAAAAGTCCGAGCTTCGAGACAAGATTTTCTTCTTCAAGCAACAACCAGGGGAACACTTACATGAGGCATGTGATCGATTCAAATTATATTTGGTGAGGTCTCCCAATCATGGTTTTCCAGACTCCATCTTGCTAGAGAAATTTTATATGGGTTTGGATCCTATGAACCAAGCTATAGTGAAGAATGCGGCGGACGGATCTTTTATGGACAAGTCATTTGCAAGAGTTACGCAAATACTTGACAAGATGGCAAAACACAATCAAGCTTGGCATTCTGAGGATACTTCAGGCGGAATTGCATATGGTTCTCCTTCCTTGACCAACCTGATCAAGGAGAATCAAGAGAGGGATCAAATAATTGCAGGGTTGGCCACAAATGTAAATGTGTTGACAAAAATGCTCACGGAAAATCAAACAAAAAAGGTGAATGTAGTTGAGGACGTGCAACCTACCTCCAATGAAGAGTTTGAAGAAGCTAATTACATCAACAATCCTCAAGGAGGGTATCAACGACAACATTATCAAGGTCAGGGGCAGCAAAGTCAATGGAGGCCGAACCCGAGGGCAAGGCAACCAACAATAGTGACATGACCAAGGTGGCTCAAGCCAAGGGAATTGGAACAATAGCAACAACTTTTCAAACCGGAGTTCAAACCCCTATGTTCCTCCAAAGGGTCAATATTCGAACCAAGGGTCTTCTAGTGAATCTAAGTTGGAAGCTATGCTCGAGCGAGTGTTGCAAAATCAAGAAAAATCCGATACTTCAATGAGGAACATGACCGAGGTTGTTGGATCTCATACCGCCTCCATCCAAAAATTGGAGATGCAAATGAGAGACCTCTCCAAAGAGCAAAATCCAAAACAAAAGGGAACACTCCCTAGTGACACGGTTGCAAATCCAAGAGGTAGTGGGAGTGGCCCAACTTCTCACATCATGGAAATCACTACTAGGAGTGGAAAAGTTCTACACGGAGAAGGTGAACAAATGGTTGAAGAAGAAGAGTCCGAACAAAGGGTTGAGGTTGAAGAGCCAAGTGTTGTCGAGGTTGAAAAGATCCCGGAGGAGTTGAAAGTGCAAAAAGAGAACCGGGAAGAGGTGAAGGAAAAAGTGGAAGAGACACCAAAAGCTCTTCCACCTATTCCTAGACTCCTCCCCCATTTCCTCAAAGGCTCGCGAGAAAGATTGATGATAGCAAACTTGAAAAATTCTACGACATTCTCAAGCAATTAACGGTGAATATTCCATTTGTAGAGGCTTTTCAAGAGATGCCGGGGTTTGCTAACTATTTAAAGGATTTGATCACCAAAAAGAAGACCACACAGAATAAGGTGGTAAACATGACTCACCGGGTTAGCTCTATTATTGCCACAACCAAAGTCCAAAAGAAAGAAGACCCGGGAGCTTTCACCATTCCTTGCACCATCGGGTCACGCGATTTCGCAAGAGCCTTATGTGATAATGGGGCTAGCATCAACTTAATGCCTCTTGCCATCTATAAGCAAGCGGGGTTAGTTATGCCAAGACCCACTAGTATGATATTGCAAATGGCCGATCGGTCAATCAAACGCCCGGTGGGAATTGTTGACAATGTACTTGTAAAAGTGGGGAAGTTTCATTTGCCTGCCGATTTTGTAATTCTTGACTGTGCGGTTGATAAAGAAATACCAATCATTTTGGGGAGACCATTCCTAGCCACGGGATGGGCACTCATGGATTCGGAGAGAAATGAAATTAAATTCCGGGTGAATGATGAAGAAGTGAAATTTCAAGCGAGCAAGGGTATGAAACTACCCCATGAGTATGAGAGAATTTCAGTGATAGATGTCATTGATGAGGTAGAAGGTGCCGTCGAAATGAAAATGGAAGAACAATGCCTTGGTGAGGCATTGGCGGCTATCTTGGTCAATTTTGATGGTGAAGACATGGATGGGTACATGGAGTCGGTAAATGCATTGGAGGGTCTTGGATCCTACACTTATACTCCGGCAAAGCTTTCTCTTGATTTGGAGAATAGGGCCACACCTCCCGCAAAGCCATCAATCATTGAGCCACCACAACTAGAGCTCAAGCCACCCCCCCGCACCTAAGGTATAAATTTCTTGGCTCTAATGATACTTTACCCGTAATTGTTTCGTCTTTGTTGAATGATGTGCAGGTAGAGCAATTGTTGGAAGTCTTGAAGGAGCATAGGCAAGCCATTGGATGGACGATTGCGGACATCTGAGGGATTCCCGCGGGAATTTGTGAACACAAGATCCAATTGGAGAGTGACACGAAGCCAAGCGTGGAGCATCAACCACGGTTGAACCCGTCAATGCAAGAGGTGGTAAAGAAAGAAATCATCAAGTGGTTGGATGCCGGGGTGGTCTACCCTATTGCCGATAGTTCGTGGGTGAGCCCGGTACAATGTGTACTGAAAAGGGAGGCATGACCGTAATTGAAAATGATAAAAATGAGCTCATCCCAACAAGAATGGTGACCAGTTGTAGGGTGTTCATGGATTATCAAAAGCTCAACAGTGCAACATGCAAAGACCATTTCCCTATGCCTTTTATTGATCAAATGCTTGATCGGCTAGAGGGAAGGTCATTCTATTATTTTCTTGACGGATATTCCGGCTACAACCAAATCAACATCGCATTGGAGGATCAAGAGAAAACAACATTCACTTGTCCCTATGGAAATTTTGCCTTTAGTCGGATGCCATTTGGTTTGTGCAATGCTCCGGCTACTTTTCAAAGATGCATGATGTCCATTTTCTCCGACATGGTGGAGGATTTTCTAGAGGTCTTCATGGATGACTTCTTGGTAGTAGGTGACTTTTTTGAGCATTGTCTTAACAATCTTAGACAAGTGCTTAAGAGATGTGAGGAAACCAACCTTGTGCTAAATTGGGAGAAATGCCATTTCATGGTGGATGAAGGCATCGTATTGGGGCATAAAATTTCAAAGCATGGCATTGAGGTTGACCCGGCTAAGATCGAGATTATTTCCAAGCTTCCTCCACCTACTTCTGTAAAGGGTTTTTGAAGTTTCTTGGGGCATGCCGGATTTTATAGGCGGTTCATCAAGGATTTTTCCAAAATTGCAAATCCTATGTGCAAACTCCTCGAGAAAGACGCCAAATTTGTGTTTGATGAAAAATGCCTCAAAGCTTTTGATGAATTAAAGCTCAGGCTCACCACGACACCTATTATTGTCACACCAGATTGGTCTCTTCCTTTCGAGCACATGTGTGACGCTAGTGGTGTAGCTATTGGAGCAATGCTTGGCCAACGTCACAACAAGGTTCTCCACCCGGTCTATTATGCAAGCAAGACACTCAATGGGGCGCAAATGAATTACACGGTGACTGAACAAGAGCTTCTTGCCATTGTTTATGCCTTTGAGAAGTTCCGGGCTTATTTGTTGGGATCTAAGGTGATAGTGTACACGGATCATGCTGCTCTTCGCTACCTTATGGCAAAGAAGGATGCAAAGCCACGGTTGATTCGATAGGTTTTATTGTTGCAAGAGTTTTACTTCGAGGTCAAGGATCGCAAGGGAACTCAAAATCAAGTAGCGGATCACTTATCAAGGCTTGAGGAAGTAGGGAGACCAAAGGAAGATCTTGAAATCAATGATGCATTCCCAGATGAACACATCTTGGCACTATCTAACACTTTTGCTCCATAGTATGCCGACATTGCTAACTATTTGGTGAGTGACCTTATCCCGGAGGGGTTGGAGTCTTATCAAAAGAAGAAGCTCTTGAGAGATTCCCGAAGAAGAAGTTATGCCTATTCTAAAAGCATGGCATGACTCGCCGGTTGGGGGTCATCATGGGGGAAATCGGATGGCGGCTAAGGTTCTTGAATGTGGTTATTATTGGCCTTCCATCTACTATGATGCCAATCAAATGGTCAAGTCTTGTGACCAATGTCAACGACAAGGTTCAATCTCCAAGAGGCATGAAATGCCAATGCACTTTGTGATGGAGATAGAGATCTTCGACGTGTGTGGAATCGACTTCATGGGTCCCTTTGTAAGCTCTTGCGGGATGAAATATATCTTGGTAGTTGTGGACTATGTGTGCAAATGGGTTGAAGCAGTTGCCTTACCGAACAATGAAGCAAGGAGCGTGAATGCCTTCTTGAAGAAAAACATATTCACTCGGTTTGGCACTCCTAGAGCCATTCTTAGTGACGGTGGATTTCATTTCTGTAACAAGGCTTTCGCGGGGCTACTTGAGAAGTATGGCGTCAAGCACAAGGTGGCCACACCTTATCATTTGCAGTCAAGTGGTCAAGTTGAGGTTTCCAACCAGGAGATCAAGAGCATTCTAGCAAAAACTGTCAACGCAAATAGGACAGACTGGTCAAGGAAGCTAGATGATGCATTGTGGGCATACCGCACGGCATACAAAACCCCTATTGGTACTTCTCCTTATCGGTTAGTCTTTGGTAAAGCTTGTCATCTCCCCGTGGAATTGGAACACAAGGCTATGTGGGCATTGAAAAGATTGAACTTAGGCTGGGCTGAAGCTGCAAATTTGAGGTTAACACAACTTAATAAAATTGAGGAATTCCGGTTCCATGCTTATAAAAGTGCAGCTGTGTACAAAGAACGGATGAAGTTTGTCCATGACAAGAAGATCTTGAAAGGTGAGTTCAAGACGAGTGATTTGGTCTTGCTCTTTAACTCAAGGCTCAAATTTTTTTCCGGGCAAGCTTAAATCAAAATGGTCCGGTCCATTCAAAGTGGTCGATGTCTCTCCTTATGGAGCGGTGGAATTAGAATCAACAGATGGGTCCCGGACATTCAAGGGAAATGGCCAACGCATCAAGCATTACTTGGGCACTAATGGAGAGAAACATTTGGTGGAGCAGCTGGCTCTCAAAGATGGTCCATGTCCGACCATTGAATGAAACCAAAGGAACCTCAACTTCGTCGTGCCGCGATGTTAAATCAAGCGCTTCATGGGAGGCAACCCATGTGTGGTAACACTCTTTGGTTCTTTGAATTTTTAATTTTTGATAGATAGATTTATTTGAGCAATTTAAAGTGTGTGTTAGAGTGCAGGGGGTTCAAAAGATCACTACACTTGGTAGGGATGCATAAAAAGGGGAAGAAAAACCACCATGTGAAGTTTGCTGCACATATGCGGTCGCATTTTCACTATGCGGACCGCATCTTGATCGCAAACCCGATCAGAAAGTTTGGTTCAAATTGGGGGTGAAAATGCGATGAGTTGGTGCACTCTGCGGACCGCATTTCACTTATGCGACCGCATTTTACACCGCATTTGTCACCCTTCAGCTGGTCACCCAACCCCACCGCATAACACATCTGCGGTCACATTGTGTGTTATGCGGTGCTCTCCCTACCACAGATTTGACAAAGGTAAGTGACCAAAATTCCTTCGTCTCTAACTCGCTTACAACAAAACAAAAAAAAGAGGGTAAAAAGAACAACGAAAACAAAAAAAACAAAAAGAAAGAACAACAAAAAAACAAAAAGAGAACGAAAAGGGGAAAAAGCAGGCATTTGAACCGTTCAAGCCATCATTCAAGAACAAAGAACTCAAGTTGTTCTACTCATCAATTCGTTCCCTATAGTGTGCACATCTGGTATGTACCTGTTCCCTACTATTCTTGTTCACGATTCAATCTGTGTGTTCGTTGATTTTCATTCATTCCCTGTTGCAAAAAGGTGTTTATGGGCTGCTATGTGTAGTTTTTTCTCCATAGGTTAGTCGATTCTGGGCTGGAAATTAACGGGGGTAATAGGTAGAAGGAAATAGGAACGCCATTGTTGGGAAGCTTGTTTGCACCATTAAAGACGAAGGCATCTGCGGCCCGCATAGTGGAAATGCAGTCCGCATTTTGGCCACAAAATCGAACTCTAAGTCTTCTGATGAAGACGGTGAAATGCGGTGAGTATGCGGTCGCATAATTGAAATGCAGACCGCAAATCTACCGCAGAGTTACATAGAACTCCCAGTTTTGAGCCTTGCATTTTGCGGCTGTTCTGCGATCGCATTCTCTACTTTGCGGTGGGTTATGCGATCGCATTGTGTAAATTATGTTTTGGGAAAGTCCATTCCGTGATGGTTATGCGGTCCGCATAATGGTTATGCGATAGCATAACCCATCGCAGAATGAGAGCCATTAGAGACTAACATGTTTGCGGTGATTCTGCGGTCTGCATTATCGTTTTGCGACCGCAGAATCAGGTCGCATTTCTTCTTTTTCTTTGAATTTTGTCTGATTCCTCTCAGTATTGCTAATAATGTCACCTACACTTCACCACTGTGCAGCTATGGCTCCAAAGAAACACTCATCTTCTGCATCAAAAAGGGCTTCCACCAGTCGCCAGACATCACAGGCAAAACGTTTGCGGATAGAGGAAAATGTGCCAAGCCCCTCCCAGTCTGAGGAGGAGGAGCTCAGGCCTTCAGTCAATTTAGAGGCTGAAGAGAGAAGGAAACGAGGAGAAGACTTCCAACTCCGATTTGGGGTCGAGGGGTCCAGGCAACTATATAGAGAGGGACTGACCAAGCGCAACATCCGGGCCGAAAAACAATTGAGCTTGAACGGATTGAAAGACCAGTACCCCCATATACTGGAAAACATAAAAGCACGGAGATGGGAGTGCTTTGCCAAGCCACCCACTGAGTACAATGAGACCCTTGTGAGGGAATTCTATGCTTCCTATGCAGCCTCGAGGACAGCACACCACAAACGAAACAGAATCTTCACTGATACTGTCATGGTTTGGGGGGAGAGTGTGTGCTGCCACATTAACACCATAAATGAGTTGTACTTCCCTGGTTGGAGAGCAGGCACCGCTGAATACAATGCTAAATTCGCGAATAGGGAAAATGAACGTGGATGGATTGCATCAGTAATAGCAAAGGGGACTCCCGCTTGGATCACCCCTCGGCACAAGATATATAAGGAGGATCTCACGAGAGAGGGTCGCTACTAGCTCAGTTTTGTTACTTCTCGATTGATGCCAAATCGGAATGAAACTGAAATAGCCATTGAGAAGGCCCTTCTCATTGCCTGCATCATGACTGGTATCAAGATAGATGTTGGAGCGTTGATCTTCCAAGAAATAGGGATTCGGGCAACGCAGCATGCTACTTCACTTCCCTTCCCGTGCCTGATCACCGCCCTTCTGTGAAAGTTCCCCTCCTGCCACACTATGACAAAACCGGGAAGGAGGCAAGGGATATTGATATCACTCGTCTCACTGATGCTGCTGCCCTACCACGGGTTCAAGTTCAGGATCCAGTTGATCTAGAGCACAGCGACTCCCAGACTCTGGTGGATCCCCAGGTTACAGTGGTCTCCCCTTCCACTTCCGAGCCTACTTCTCAATCCACCATTGTCCAGCCTGCTATTGTCATTCCTGCTGTCTCAAAGCTTGGTCTCTTGGCTCAGCATACCAATGCCAAGGTAGACCAGCTTTTGAAGACACTGCCCAATCTCATAAAGCAAGCAATGAGCCCTATGCAATCCGCAGTGACAGCCCTCCAACAGCAACACTCAGTATATGAGGATCGTTTGCAGCAACTTGAGTTGAGGGTGGAGAAGATAGAGCGGGGTGAAGTTAGTGGGCTGCCTAGCCTCAAGGAGGAGGTTGCTTCTATGAAGACCGAGCTCCAAAAGATTCAGAACATGGAGTTCGATCTATCATCCCTCCTTCCCACAAATGGTAATCAGGTTACAGGCACAGCTGCTCCGGACTTGGGCCTTGACTTTTCGACACTTATGACTGACGTTGCCCCTCCTATAGCTGGGTCTCCCCAACCTCCAGCTCCTCCTGTACGCATTGACATTCCTGATGAGGAGGGTTCCGGACGATCCACTGCGTCCGAGGATGAGGAGACAGATGAAGGTGAGGAAGAGGTGAGTTCTGGATTTTCAGATGATGATGGCCCTCAGGAGAAGGGCAAGTAGATTCTCACTCCGACTGTTGAGGAGGTGGAGCGAGTACAGCTCAAGATAGCATTGGAACAATCTCTAGCAGATTTGGCCGCCACTGCAGATCCATCGGCCACTCAGCCATCATTGGGCGAGGCTAGCAGCTCACAGGTCCCAGCCCCAGTTATGGACCAGCCAGAGATTCCTCCTGCAGTTGTGATTCCTCCTCAGGCCGAGCCCTCAGTCTCAGTTCCAGCCTCGGAGAGTGACCCTCCTAGCACAGCGCAGGCTACTGACTCCCATAGCGCTTAGTGCGCCTCAGGGAGCCCCTTACACTCTTTGTTTTTGTTTTTCTGCATTGTGGGCAATGCATGATCTTAAGTTGGGGGTGGTAGCCTTGTGATGATATTTGGTTAGACTTGTGATACTGTTATCTTTGTGACATTAGCAACTGCTGGACATATGTGTATTTTTGTGTCCTTTGTATGTTAATATGGGTTTTGTATAGAAGTCGTGTTGTTTAGTTGTGAGCATGTTTATATTAGTTATGTTGTTTAGTTTGTGGGCATGTTTATATTAGTGTTTCTGTGATTTAGATGCAGAAGTTATGGTACCCTTGTGAATATGATACCCTGAGAAAAAAAA